TTCGCATGTTTCATTCTGGTACACCGAGTTGAAGTGGCTTTATCCTACTTCCCGACGACAATTCCTCCTTGGTGTTTTCCTTTTCCAAGTCCTCAGAACCAAAAACCCTCCCTACATCCTGGAACTCCTTACTCTACGCTCCTCTATCCACTCTCTCAATACTAGGTCTCAACCTATAGATTTATATATCCCCTCCCATAAAACTACTTCCTTCAGCAAATCCTTCGTCATTCGTGCTACCTCCTTTTGGAACTCTCTTCCTACCTCCATACGTCAATCCTCGTCCACAAATTCCTTCAAACAACTCCTGTTCCACCACCTACTCCACATTCAAACTTCCGCTAATATGTAAAATTACTTGTATCTGTATACTGTTTAATTTCAATCTACTGCACAATTGCAATAACAATAAGCAGTTAATTAGTTTGTATTTTTTATTATTTTAAGCCAGACTAATACCCATAAATTTGTAACACTGTTATTATTCTTAGGGGACTGTAGTCCCAGAATAAAATTATTTTTTCATTCATTTTCTTCATTTATTCATTCATTCATTAGATCACAATTATTACGAATATGCTCAACAGTCCTTAACGGACCTGGGCCTCGGAAACAAGTCTCCACCAGGCTTCCCTATCAGCAGCTATTCTTCTCCATCTTCTTATATCCATACGGCTGAGGTTTTTTTCTACGTTGTCAATCCACCACAGCCGGAGTCTTCCCCTAAGACACACCTCTCCTGAGGGAAGTTTCCTTGGCAATCTGTCTTCCTCCATCCTCTCTACATGACCATCTGTGGCAGTGCCTTTTGACCGTGACAACAATATTGTCATTCTTATGGTGGAATTCCACTGAGGCAACACTGAACGACATGTTGCTTGATACTTCCTAGTGTTCCCTATTGTAGCCGTCCTACTATGCCGCACAAAATTCAGTTAATGTCACATGCGAAATTTGTTGCCCCACATCGCATCGCATGCGCTTTGTCGTACACTTGTGTAGCATGCGACTAAAGCAATTCCATTCAGGCAACTTCAGTTGGGTACATCATGTCATTAAAAACCGTCGCGGCAGCTGGATATTCGGTATTCGCTTTAAATCATAAAAGGAAAAGAAAAACGCCATGATATTGGAGAAGAGAACTATAAATCGATGGTCAAGAAATTCGGTACAATTTAATACTTTACGCTTATAGAGTAGTGGAAAATTCATTTTAATCCGAGTGTCTATGAGAAAGAATTGACATTATTTGATTAAAACTTTAAAAGAATTTTTTAAAAACATTTATAACATTTATATTTAAAATGAGTCTGCCAGTCGGATCTTGCTACCTGTACAAATTATTACTTGCTGATGTAAAGAATATTAGACCAGTAACTTGAGGATCGAAACTGAAAATTCATTGCATAAAATGTGGGAAAAGTTTTTATTCAGTAATTTTTTAGATAGAAGAAACCTGAGTAAGCCCATATGGAAAATTAGAAGAGTTAAATACAAAAGTATATTGGTTATACCGATTCTTTACATATAATAACTAGAATTGTCAAGTATTAAACTATTTTGCCTTAATTTTTATTCAAAAAATCGATTTTTTTTTTACCAGTCTTGGAATTGGTCTTGCTACAGTTAGTCGGTCCTGGTCTTAGTCTTGCAAAGTGCAAGACCAAGATCGATTTTGGGCAACACTAGTTTCGATCCTCAAGTTAATGGTCCAATATTCATTAAGTCAGTGGCCATTTTTACAGGAAATAAGATCCTACTGGCAAACTCTCATTTTTTTAATAAAGATGTTATAAATATTCTAAAAATGCTATTAACATTTTCATCAAATAATGTAGATTTTTTCTCATGGGCTCTCGGACTATTTGGGTTGCTATCAAGTGTATTTCGTGTCATCATTGATCTTCATTGGCGTCGGGAAGTGGCGACCCCATCGCTCAGTCATTAGACTGCAGTCAGCCACTGGCCCTCCAGGTTGGGGGAACTTACACCTACACTGACACACACACAGTACTCTAAACTACAGCACACTTCACACGACCCCACACTACAGATAAAGGTCAATTGCAGTACACACCCTAGGGTCACCTCCCCTAGGTAGCCGTCCCCGATAGGGAAGCTTTTCAGGGCGCTATGAGGAGGCAGTCCCTCCACCTGACTCGGTGGCAGCGGGCTGATACCTCGCTCCCCTTAAATCAACTACATCATAAACCCTCAAAGAGAAATAGCCGGACAGATCAATGTTAAACAATATAGGATTCGCCAAAAGGACTTAACAATAGGACAATGGAATATTTTATCCCTGTAGACTGGGTTTGCTTCGGCAACTTCTACAACAAGTTGACAACTACAACCTTGGAGGAGTAACAAGGGACCTATATAGATGTGTTGAGGTGCATCAAGCTTGGACGACTACGTTGGGCTGGCCATGTGGCCAGACCAAGGAAGTTGCTTGATGGGAAGCTCTGCAGGACAAAAGGAAAGGGCAGACCACGTCTAAGATGGGAGAACACCATCATCCGGGACGCCAGAGAAATATTGCAACCCACAACTGGTGAGGGCTCATTGAGGCGGCCAAGGACCACACCGGTCTGTAGCGCCGAGTTAGTTATTGATCTTCATCATTGTGTCATCATCCAAACACTCAGCAGTTGGCAATATTGATATGGGTACATCGTCGTCCAATAAAAAATTCAGTAGCTCATAACAAACCATTTCCTGTTTTTCTTGGAGATGAGCCATTTTTTTCTTGCTGAAGTTTTTCTTTATGAAATGCTGACAAATTCTTAATTAATTTTTACATCTAACACCGTACAATTATATTTCCCTATTTAAATAAATTAACGATTAATAAATAAACCAATTATTTTTACCTGCATTACCGTACAATAATTATATTTATCCAATAATTTTTTCAACTTATCGTTTTTAATTCTTATATCTTTATATTCGATGATTTTATTATTCCATAATTTGGCAGCATTACGGTAATCATCAATAAAAGACGTAGTTTTTTTGTTCGTCCACTCCATGTTGTCCACAACAAGCCGCACCGATCCAAGGACTGTTGGATAGACGGTGACACTGTTCAACACTTTAAATCATGTGGAGAGATGACGCATTCGACAGACAACAACGGTCAGCTTGTAGCATGTGGCAAGGAGACATATTTTTTTATTCTATGAAAAGACAGTAACCGCATGCTACATGTTGCCTTAAAGTTGCCTCAGTGGAATTCCGCCTTTATAAAGCTCATATAACTTTTAATTTTTTCTTATTCTCCACTGATCATTTATTCTTTTGTGACCATATATTTTCCTTAGGACTTTCCTTTCTCAAATTTTCAGCAACCTCTCACTTTCCTGGGTCAACATTTCGTACCTGTATGTAACAACTCATCTAATAATGGTTTTATAAGCTGTTATTTTAGCATCCCATGTCAGTTTCTTTGGTTTTATTAATTTTGCTAGGGATTAAAAACATTTATTACCTACTGTTATTCTGGCTTTTATTTCGACCTGTATTTTGTTTTGGTCTGTCACTACCACTTCCAGGTATTTAAATACTTTCTCCATTGAAAAATGATGCTGATTGATTTTAACATATGCATTAATTGCTACATTATTCCTTTAGGACTTCATGTAAAGGCTTTTATCTTCATTTATGCTCAGGCCGAGTTGCTTGGCTGTCCTTTTGAATTCCTCAATCGATTCCGCCAGGGCCAACAATGTACAAGCCATGTTATTACCATTTCCTGATGATGTGATATTTTGAAATGGGAATTTCGATAAAAACAATAGGTATTAGCGGTGTCAATAATTGGATCTTCAAAATAAGTTTCCCCCCAATTATTGACAGAAAGTCAATAATAACTGGGTATATCAATAACTGGGTTTTTCGTAAAAATGGTGTTTATATGCCATCACAGTTTACTTTTTCATTTGTAGCAGAATGATGCTTTCATTTTTTGTAAATAACGAAAGTATCCAATTGTTGACAGAGCTGTCATTATCAGGTTCGCGGAGGTGTCAATAATTAGATTGGACCACATCAGTTATAGACAGCTTGAATATCCAATTATTTACATCTCTCATTTATTACGTTATTTGCAATATTGAAGGCCTCTATCATTGTCAATTTGGTGGGTATGTTAGCAGATGAATGAATATATGATTTGGATGACCAAGGGTGTTTTTATTTTACAGGTTGGCATTTCAAAAGGCTCTAACAATTTCCTGTAAGAAGAAAAACAAATGCCAGACAATGGACTCAATTTCAAAAAGAAAAAATTAGAAAAGAGCCAAATGTTGGTAGGTCTCAATGTTTGAATTGCTCAACATTGAAGATGGCCAAGAACAGAAAAATATGGAAGAAGTTGAAATTTTGCAAAAAATAGACCCATATTTGACAATAAGTAAAGGTGACTTGTCACACAGCCACAGTTGTTACCAGAAGGAAAAAAGCAATCTTGGCTTGTCGATTTTTTAAGGATTTCCAATGAAAATTTGGCTGCTATCCCTCTCAGAGCATACAACAGACTGAAGAGTGTTTTTCAACTGATGAGGATGAGATACTATTCAAAGAGCATAACTTTTGTTTTTTAACTAATCTTAATCTAATCGTGTTCAAACTTGTACTTGACGCATATCACATGTTTGCCTGCCTACCCCTTCATTTCTCCAGATGGAACACTAGAAAATTAGTCTCATTACTTAATTTACACAGCTCCTTTGGTCTGTGTGTGACCTAAATCTGCCAGTTAAATATATATATATATATATATATATATATATATATATATATATATATATATATATATATATATAAGTTAAAGTTAATCCATTTTATAATTTATGAACATATATATATATATATATTTAAAGTTAATCCATTTTATAATTTATGAGCATTATATATATATATATAATTAAAATATATTTGAATATTATTTATTGATTTAACTATACTTGTAAGTAAATATGTACTAAATGTTTTTTCAGATGCTTGGTGCCATACCTTGCCCTCATATAACTGCTTTAGACCAAGCCAAATTTCAGCAGCAGTACAATGATGAATTAGAGCATCGAAATCGTATTGTAAGTCTATTAGTAATATTTCAAATCCTATTATATTTTATTTTTTTTAAATAAAATTTGCCCGTATTTTTACTTATCTCCAGTCTACCTGAATTCGCTTTTCTAATTTTGTTTAATTTTTTAATAAATTTAAATGTTTAAAATTCTTAGTTTTTATTAAAAAGTTTTTTTTTTTGTTTTTTTTTTTTGCTTTAAGACTTGTAAAAGCAAGTCCTATTTTGCCAGTAAATATCTTAATTGTCATAGCGAGATGAAATTATGGTTTTTAGAGAAATTACACTGGATTTATATTAATTATTTATAATTAGATTATCACTGAAAGTAACTTATATGGGACTTGGATATTAGATATTATATTATTAGATATTAGATATTATGGAAACTAGAAAGACTAATGGTTAAAAACTGAGATGAATTAGAATTACAATTAACTGAGAATAAGCGACGACTTTTATTATATGACTGCTTTTATGTCATTCATGAATTTTATCAAGTCACGGGCGTTATCTTTGTTCATCAACCGAAGAAAGTTAGCTCCATCATCCGTAGTTTGCGATCCTACACTAATTCTTCTTCGCTTCTTGAACCTTTTGCACTTGAAGGCATTGTGTCTTGGATCCTCCAAGCATTGGCATGTTGGGTAGTGACCGCTCTTAGCTAGACCCATTAGATGAAGATATTTATTTGTTCTACCATGGTTTATCCTAAGCCTGGTCAGCTTTACTAAGCTGGAGCGGTCGAGATGAGATTTAACAGTCACAAACCATGGAATCAGTACTATCTTCTGTTGAACTGCATGATGGTCCTTACCAATAATTATTAAAATGTTAACATTAAAAAAAAAAGTTAGATCCATACCTTTTTTAAATTGTATATCGATTATTGCCTGAGAAATTTGACAAAAAAATGTGGCAAAATGGGCATTTCAATGAACAAAAGACATGTTCACACTAGCTGCAACAAACAAAGCTCTCCCTAGGGAATGGAGAAATTATAGAATCAACAAAGGCTGGTGAAATTATAAAGTATTTAGGATGTACGTTCTTGGGAGAGCTAGGTCTAAATCAGGAAATGGTGACCAAATTAAACAACAACTTAGACAAATTGGTTAGCTCTTGCTTTCTTAAACCGGAGCAGGAGATCAATGTTGTCAACAAATACGTGTACCCTGGACTTACGTACCCTCTCCAGACAGCGCCCCTCACAAAGATACGTCCTGCGATATTGGAAAGAATCAATACTGGATTATCCACCAGATTATCGAGGGCATTATCGGGCTCCTTTGCTAATACGGCGATGTTCTATGAGAGCTCCACAACAGTCACTGAGAGATAACTCTTTCGAAGAATGGGGGATCAGTTCCAATCCTCGATACCTCCTCTCGATACCAGGTACATTCAACATTGCCGTTGATGTATTAGCGGAGAGCCCGATAATGGCCTTAATACTCCTGCGAATATTTGTATCAATTCCTTCCAATATTGCAGGACATATCTTTGCGAGGGGTGCCGTCTGGAGAGGGTAGGTAAGTTCCGGGAACACTTATACAGCATATTAGTTGACAATGTTGATCTTTTGCTCTGGTTTAAGAAGGCAAGAGCTTACCAATTTATCCAAATTATTGTTCGATTTGGTCACCATTTTCTCATTCAGTACCAGCTCTTCCGAGAACGTACATCTGAAATACTTCAATGTCTCACCAGCCTTTGTTGAATCGATGGTTTCTCTGTTCTCTTGTTTCCAGCTCTCCTTTATCGATTATTAAGTTCACTCTTTTCTATGGATTTATAGCCAGAACAATCTCGGCAAGGATCCTCTGCACACCATTAATTAACCTCTCTGCAGCACCCTTGTCACGTGCTGTAACAGCCTGGTCATCCGCGAAGCCTGTGAGGACCACACATTCTTGGTCGCTGCATAATTTATATCCACAGCGTTGGGAAAATTCTTGTTCACACAGGTCGTGGTGTAGATGATCTATAGCCAGGTTGAACAGCGAGGGCGACAAGGGTCCGCCTTGGGATACTTCTTGCCGTATATACTATAATCAATATAATATGTATATTCTATCAATTTGTTCAGCTTCATATAAGCCCAACATCGATTTGAGCCTTTGATTTCTAATATTTTCATTGTACATTATATTGTGCTTCCTTTTCTATTTCATAATAATTATAATTATATCAGAATATAATAATTAATGTATTGTATTCAAGAGGAAAATTTCTAGATCAAAATATAACTGCTGTCCTAGCTAGGCAAAATCATACTACCACCTCCGGATGAATACCATTTTCCGTACAAATTTTTGATCTAAAATCTTTATTTTGTGTTAGTAGAGTAAGAGATTACAGGAGCTCCATACTGTAACAAAGACACCAGTTTGTAAATCTCTATTTTGTGTTAAAAGAATATGAGGTTACAGGAGCTCAACAAATATGTAATTATATGAACAGCTGTATAATTAGTGCTAATTATAGAGCTACTAGGAAAGCTTCTGTAATCTACTCTTCTACTACTAAAATAAAATATAAAAGTCACTAAGTATAAGTAACTGTTTTATATAATAGATAGACTAATAGCTACGTACCAGTTGACTTCAATGAATGATTTTCAAGATCATTTTTATAAATATTTTAAAGTACTTTAATATTGTACTAAACAATATTTGGATTAAACCTCATATTGTTTTGAGATATTTTAAATAAATGTCAGTTTTCTGTCATTCTTCCTCTCTTACCTTCAGCTCCTCACTCCTGTCATGTTTCCGCTCTACACCAAAATCTGACGTAGGAAACTTTAGGAATGTTACCAGTTATGGGAAGATTAATAAACATTTACAAAGGTTTTATCATTTTTTTTTTATCTTTCGGTCAATCCCTCATTTTACTGTACTATGAAGGAGGTAGCTCAATACTATGTATCTTCAATTATTTATACGATAATGCATCAAACATGCTGGGTCTGAAATACCATTTCATTCCCTAGACAGAAATGGAACCAGGCGCTGAGATGCTGAGAAGATTTTATCCAGGGAATCCAAGATAAACAGATCAAGCCAGGACTCTGAGAACTGGGTATGATGGGTAGGGTTTTAGGGTACTATATAAAGGCTGAGGGATTGGAGGAGGCCAGTCAGGTAGGAATGGTCAGAAGATGGTATCATTAAATTGGTATTGAAGTTTCCGGAGAGGATAATATTGGAGTAGGAAGGGATCAAGTTGTAAAGGGAAGTCTCAAATGATTCATCAAACGGAATTTTGGGTGGACGATAAATTACTGTAAAGAGAAGGGGGGGGGATGATGAAGTGAGGATTTCAGTAAAAAGATCTTCCATGTGCGGAGAATCGGTATGGGAAGAGCAATGTAGAATTTTGAATTTTAAGGCTGTCATGGACAAAGAGACCCACTCCGCCACCTGTACGATTCACTCTGTCATGATGAAGGAGGGTATAATTGGGTAAAGTAATTTGGGAAGACGGAATAGAGGGTTTTAACCAGGTTTCAGAAACTGCAATTAAATGGTAGAAGTTGTGGAGGAAAAAATCATAAAATTCATCAAAAAGGGCTAGGAATGACTGAGCGTTGATGTGGCAGGTTAAAAGGATATTAGTCATGGGAGAAGGAGGTATGGCTTGGTTAACAGACTGGAAGTGCTAGGGGTAGGAATATTTTTATAGTGGTTAGAGTTAGTATGAGCCCAGAGTACATAATTGTTGATGACACCTCTATTAAAAATAAATCATGAGTGTAATAATAAATGATGCAAAACAAAAAATAAAGAATACTAATTTTCCAGGTATTATTAATGTTGAAAAGTTGAAGATATACAATTTAGTAAACGAAAGGTGTACCTTTACATCGGAAAAAAAAGTATTTACGTATATTAAAATGTCTAAAACAATAAAACTTAGACTGTTCTTATAAACAAAAATAAAATAATTATCAAAATAAATTAGATAAAAAACAACTAAATTGTAGTCTTGAAAAAAAATAGAAATGGGCAAAAACAGAAATGAAAAATAAAGTGTGCAGAGCAATTAAAGCATGTGAATACAAGCCATGCGAATATGTCGGGGTCTGATGGCGAGTTAATCACGACAACCTGCTGGCTGTCATCTCATCGACATTTCACTTTGCCTGCATTGAATTAGACGTATCTGATCTTCCCCGCAGACCTCTTTCGTCGGGTTAACCAATATAGATGTCGGTTGGTTCCGGACATTGCCTCGCTTACATTTGCTTTGTGAGCATCATTTTCCTGCCATCCCAGGTGGCAAGTTGAGAAGTTCCGTATATATATATATATATATATATATATATATATATATATATATAGCGAGAGAGAGAGAGTGAGAGTGAGATTGATTGATTTTTATTTGTTTTAGAACCTATGGTCCTTTCTTACAGACGAAAATTCTAATACATTTAGAATTTTACAATTTTCATTAAAATATACATTGTTCCTTACAATATTTTTTGCAATTTTTAATTTTAATTTTAAGGTTAGTAAATATATGTAATGCAGATGTTAGTATGTAAAATAAAATGAGATTATTTGTAGAAAGTAAGAGAAATAAATAAGAGAGAGCTTATCGGGTGAGAGTTATTGTAGGAATTTTGAATTTTTATTGTGCACTTGACCAATCCTCAGTTAGGAATCGCCTAACACAAGCCCTGCGGAAGAAGTATGCCGTTCTTACCTCTGGCGGAAGCCAGTTGAGCTCCCTCGCAGCTGCAGCATGGAATGTGTTCCTTAAAATCTCGGTGATGAACATGGCGCTAACTTTAGAAATGTCGCCGACACTAGGATGTCAGCAATCCAAGTCTCAGAATTTACAGTGGCAGTATGACTATGGTTAGTGGCTTTGAAGGGAGCATGTGTAAATTCAGCGTTCTAAACACAGCGGTTGTGGCGGCAGCGGGCGTTCAAATGTGAACAGCCAATTCTGCACAACCGAACCATAGGCACTTTAGCCTTATTAATTAACTTATTTTAAAATACTGAAATCCATTGAGGATAAATATGTACGAAAAATGAAATGTCGAATAGCAGGAAGTCTATATATATATATATATATATATATATATATATATATATATAGAGTAATAGAGAAAGTCTATATATATATATATATATATATATATATATATATATATATATATATATATATATATAGACTTCCTGCTATTCGACATTCATTTTTCATACATATTTATCCTCAATGGATAAATATGTATCCATAATGGATTAATATGTCTCATATATATATATATATATATATATATATATATATATATATATATATATATTGAAAATAATAAATCAATGAAATGTACATGCTACAAAATAAATGAAAGAATAATTTAAGAATATTTCTCTTAATACAAAAATAATAAAATAGTAAGATTAAATTTACGATTTCTATGAGAGTTGATTAATAATTATAATTTTACAGAATGAATTTAATTTAAATGTTAAAATGAATTAAATGATTTGAAATAGTACAGAAAAAAAATTATATAACTGTATATAATTTTTATATAATAACAAAAGAAAAAAATAATATGGTGGAACCGGTCTTGAACCAATAATGTTCACTATTAGAGAATAGTATGCTAGCCACTACACTATGAGTACATCTTTAGAAGATGGCATGAAGCAGTGTGGAAGACAGAGTTCAGCCTCATTGTGAGGTGTACAATTACAAGAAAATAATGTTTTGTTTCACTGAGTATTGAAACTGAAGACCCGTGGGGTCATTAATTTATTTTAAAGGGGCGCCACTCATCTTGTTAATGTTAATAAAAAGATTAACATTAACTGCAAAAAGCAGTAGTATCATGTAACACCACGAGAGGCGGACTGACATGGAAATGGCCGTCTCGGATATGTATATAAATAAACAGGTTTGTCGTACAATGGTATGGAAACAAACTTATTATTAATAAATTTAAATGAAATTAACCAACTAAAATTACCCCCATATATTGATATGGCGCAAATAATCACATGTTGGCGTCACTCCGCCCACCAAAATTTTTATTAAAATTTTAAATGAAGAAAAAAAATCCTTAACTTGGTGTTTGACACCTGAGGAATGGCTGTCCACCTTAAGAAGACCTCATAATTCGTGGAAATGAAATGAAAATATGTTTTCACCTCACAAGAAGCAGATACTCCGGGTGATTTTCAACAAACACTGAGGTTTTGAGCTCAGCGACAGGGTACTCATCCATTAAATACACCACTACGCCTCCTCTGGGCTTCCCGGACCTATCATTCATGTAAACTTTGTAGCCGTCGATACCGACACTATTAGATGATAATGTCGGAACAAGCCAAAGCTCATTAACGGCTAGCACATCTAACTTGACCTGCTGAAAAATAAGTCTTAACTTCATCAATATGGGCCGTTAAAGATTCAGCATTTATATGTGCCACCCTCAGCACCCCATGATCGCCTCCAACGATCCCTCACAGGCCATTCAAGGGACCGACAATAGGCACCAAAAGTGGAGGGAGGGAGGGAGGGAGGGGGGGGAGAGAGAGAGAGAGAGAGAGAGAGAGAGAGAGAGAGAGAGAGAGAGAGAGAGAGAGAGAGAGAGAGAGAGAGAGAGAGAGAGAGAGAGAGAGAGAGAGAGAGAGAGAGAGAGAGAGAGAGAGAGAGAGAGAGAGAGAGAGAGAGAGAGAGAGAGAGAGAGAGAGAGAGAGAGTGTGAGTGTGAGTGTGAGTGTGAGTGTGTGAGAGTGTGAGAGTGAGAGTGAGAGAGAGAGAGATTTAATTACAGTTGTAATTTTCTTTTATTTATTGGAGACTTCATGCTCATTTATTGGAGGAATTTGGTTTGTATAAACTATGTGTATAGTTTGTTTACTTAAGATTTTTTATCTGTCTATTTATTTAATGCAACAGTTTTTCTGACCAGATATTATTCTTTTTTTCTCTCTAATACTCAGTTATCCTTAAGGGACTTTATCCCAGAATAACGTTATTATCTATCTAATTCTAAGGTTACATCACTTTAATTTAATTATTTCTTGTTTGTTATTTTTCGCTAGACAAATGACACTTTTATTGTTCATTAATATTATTCTTAAGGAATTAAATGTCCCAGAATAAAATTTACTTTTCTTCTTATATAAGAACCTAAAAATCTGGGCTAAGGAAAGAGAAAAATTAATAAAATAAATTTTGTTTTAAATTATTTTTAAAAAATTTCTCAGTTCCTAGGACACATTGACAAGAACCCGGAACGGAAGAACAGACATGGATCTAATATTTTTCTACCTATTATCACCAAAAAAAAGTTTCATTGAAATTGGTGACCTCTCATCTATAACCTTCCCTTGTTTGACTGTAATTTTAATTAAAATATTTTTTTTTCAATCTTGATATGATTTTATTTTCCGTAGCACTTGGAATGTTATATATGTGAGAGAACTGGACAATATCTTTGGATATGCTTGCATAATGACTGCTTTAAGGTGTTCTGCTCTGATGTCCCTCCAAACCATGTACTTTCTCACTACAAGGTAATTAATAAATCATAGTTAGTTTGAAATTAAATATTTTAATTTTCCTTTTGTTTATTGATTTTGAATTGAATTCTCAAGGTTTTATAGCTACGGTGTGACCATAAATTGATGGCCGGACTGAGGAACAGGAATGGAATGGAAAAGTAGAGGAGTGGGGTGAGGGGCTTTAATTTATGGTCACAGTATAGTTTTAATGATGAATACTTATAATTCAAATCTTTATCATGCAATTTTATCTCATGAGCATATAAGATTATTTATAAGAATAAAACTGACATTATAGTCAAATTTTTAAAATCTGACAAACATGGGACTGATAAGTTGTTGGATTATCAAATATTCTGGTCTACTGTGGGTCCCATTTAGATGATGCAAAATAAAGAATTAAGTTTGAAATAATGCTACGCTAAATTTGTTTTATTTGTGTTTCCTTTTTAACCTGTTAACTGGGTATGACGAAATATCTTTCTTTTTTCTTTTATAATATGTTATCAAATATTTTGTTGAAATAAATAAAATCAATAATTTAAAAATTACTTCCTTTGATTACTTAAGGTGTAATAATATTGCTTATAATTATGAAGAAAAAAGTTGGCATTGTAAAAAGTCAAACAAAATTTTATTTCCCGGTTAACAGGTTAAGAAAACATAATAAACATAACTTACAAATACTACAACTTACTAAGTAATGGTGAACATATGACAAAAAAAACCTCAACTCTTCCATTTCCCCCACAATGACTGGTCAAAATATTCATTACTAGAAGTCATGAGCTCGTTGGATTAACAAATGTCTGACTATATATATATATATATTGTAATGTCAACATTACATGGCTTATAAATAGTGGCGCGAAAGTGGCAACAGCATGAACTACAGGGAAGAAGTGAGGGAAGCAAGCCTCATGGGACTCAGACTGCGACGGGCCGCCAAGAGGAAAGGTGCTAGCTGCCAAGAGAGAAGATTATGAGCCGCCAAGAGAAAATGTGACAAGCTGTCAAGAGAGAAGGTACTAGCCAGCAAGTTGAGAAAATAGAAAGAGCCACAAAGTTTAGACTGGGACAATCAAGGTTTTTGAATGTATAATTTCTTAATGTATGTATCTCGTTTCTTTATATGTATTTAGTAATTGGTAAATTATAGTTATTAAATATTGAATGAGTGTTCAGTTGTCAGAACCCAACCTGAGATTAATGTTATATGTGTAAAATAAATAGTATATTAAAAAAGGAACTCGTTTGTTTTGATTTTTGTTGACAAAGGGAACGTTACAACATGGCGCCCAACTAGCGTGGCTTTTGAGAACGTTACAATATGTATATAGCATTTCCAAGTCAATTTCAACCTTTACCAAGTCAAATTCAACCTTTTCCAAATCAAATTAAACTTTTTCCAAGTCAAATTCAAACTTTTACATTTCAAATTAAATCTTTTCCATTTCAAATTCAACCTTTTTTTATTTATTTATTTATTTTTAATTTTTTGATGTGTGGGTCTGTTATCGTATGAGTAGTTTTTGAAAATGACCTCCATTTTATGTTAACGCCACTGTGTTTTGACTTATTTAAGTTTTTTGAATTTATCCAATTTAAAGGTCTACTTTTATGTTTTGGGATCCGTAGATTCTGAAAATGACCTTTATTTTATGATTACGCCACTGTGTTTCAACTTATTTAAGTTTTTCGAATTTATCAAATATAAAGGTCTACTTTTATGTTTCTGGAGCAGCAGATTTTTAAAATGACCCCATTTTAAATTTATGCCACTGTGTTTTGGATTATAAAAGTTTTTTTTTTTTACTTTTTCGGTATAAGGATCTACTTATATGTTATCGGAGACGTATTGAAATTTTTTTAATCATTAATATTTACATTTATCTAATATTTAATCTCCATTTTATGATTAAGCCGCTGCCTCTCGATTAATTAGGCTTCATTTTGGATTTTTTCAATACGAAGTTTCATTAATATGTTTTTGAGTATGAATAAATAAATAAATAAATATTATGAAGCTAAAGTTAAATTAACCACAGAATACAAATTAAAAAGCCAAAAAGCAACTGGCAATAAATTTCAGATTTTTGAGCTAATTGTTTGAAATCTTATAATTTTGTTACAGGAGACACAACATTAAAAAAGATAACTAAAATTAAATTAAAAATGGGACAATGCATATTTTATTTATTTCGATTAGATATTTTTATTTATTTATTGAAAAATAAATTAATCCTTCTTATTTTGTTTTTTATTCGAAGAAAAAATCAAAAACACTTTAAAAAACCAAACGCGGTGGCCTAATCTTAAAATGTAAGTCTTTTTAAAAACTAAGGCTCCGGCATCATAAAAGTAGACCTTCAAATAGGATAAATTCGAAAAACTTAAATAAGTCGAAACGCAGTGGCGTAATCATAAAATGGAGGCCATTTTCAAAATATACGGCTCCGGAAACATAAGAATGCACCCTTTTATGAAAAAAATCCGAAAAACTCAAATAAGTCGAAACGCGGTGGCCTAATCTTAAAATGGAGGTCGTTTTCAAAATCTACGGCCCCTGAAACATACAAGTAGACCTTTATATTGGATAAATTCTAAAAACTTAAATAAGTCAAAACACAGTGGCGTAAACATAAAATGGAGGTCATTTTCAAAATCTAAGGCTCCGGAAACATAAGAATGCACCCTTTTATGAAAAAAAAATCTGAAAAACTTGAACAAGTCGAAACGCTGTGGCATAATCTTAATCTTTATTTTGATAAATACAAGTACAATGATTACATCAGCACTACAATTTTATTTTCACATTATGAATATCGTCCAATTTTTGATTCTTCGAAATATTTGCTTTAATCAGAGTATTGCATATTTTTGGCATTCTTTCTATTAATTGTTGCAGAGTTCTAGTTGAGATCTGGTTTATCCAGTAACTCTGTAAAGATTCCTAAATTTAGTTTTGATTTGCAGATTGTATCTTCTGAATGTTTCTGTCGAGCTCATCCTACTATAGTTCAATGGGGTTGAAATCAGAGGACTGAGGTGTCCACGCCACGTATTTAAGTACTTCTTGCTCTTCTTTTGTTTCAATGTTATTTCTAAACAATTTAGAAGAATTTTTCAGATCATTATCCCGCTGAAAAACAAATCCTTTACACACAATTCTCTGCTCACATGGAAAAGGGTGACGCTGCACTATTCCGTGATATTGTTTTTTATCCACAATTCCATCTATTCGGAAAAGATCTTAAACTTAAGTCGCCGTCAAAACATTCCCAAACCATAACTGACCCTCCACCATGCTTTAAGTTGGTACTATGATATTGATTAATCATGCTTTCACCAACCATACAACGAACATACTGCCTATGCTTACTTCCAAAAATATAAAATTTTGATTCTTCCTGAAAAACACTTTCGACCACTGTTCTACAGACCAGTTTCCATGTTTTTTTGGCCTATTGTAGTCGTTTTTTTTTTGTTAATAGGGATTTTCTAGCAACTACTTAGCCTTTTAAACCAATCACAAAGTCGATGTTACACCCTACTGATAGACACAGGCTTCTGTCTAACAGCATTCATTTCTTTGCGAATATCTGGTGCTGTTCAAGTCTGCTAGAGCTTATTTTGAATGCAGATGAACTTGTCCTCACATTTTGATGTTACTCTAGGTCTCTCAGATCGTTGCCGGCTCTTATTTTACCCAATTTCTTTCTTACTCTTGAGCGTTCTTGCCAACTTCAGTAGTCTGAGAAACCTCAGTCATCGATGTGATTTGTCTAGTCGCATTGCCTTCCCTGTGTAATGAATCAATGATGGCACGTGTTTCAACACTCTGTTCTTGTTTTTTACCCATATTTCTATAATAAACTGTGTAAAAAATTGTTAATGTTTTGTTTTTAATATTTACCAGCTATTCTAAATTAAAATTAATTAATTAAAACTTTAAAATCAATTTTTTTACATTTGGACAAATCTCAGAAAATAAATGTTAATATAGTACAAATTGATAGAATTAGTATTAAATACACTTTTCTTTAAATAGGCTCACTATTATTAGTTCACCTGATCATTCACAAAATAAAGAGATACTGAAAGAATAGTAACTAGTTTTAAGTTGAAAGAGGGGTAGTAGGATGTTTGTTGATATTTAAGTTATCTATTGAGTTAGAATTATTTTATTGATCTTGAAGATTGTGAATTAAATACAAGTGAGTCCATACTTTTGACAGGTACTGTACATTATTAAAATATTATTCAATGTGGCTGGTTCCATAAAATATGGTGAAGCTAAGAATTAACAAATTATTCACAACTCAGTTGATTCAGTTGTCATTTTAATTGTCTAATTTAATCTCTTACACTTGAAATAAAATATACTAAAATTTAAATATCATAAATTAAACAGCTTTAGGTGTATGTAGTAAATATTTCCAGGTTAGATTGTTTTATTAGATTGGTTTATTTTGTATTGACCAGTGTTTACAATTGGAGCATAGCTGTGTAAAACTACAGTGTGTGTGTTACTGAATGATAATTTTCAGAAAGATACGACTCATTGTCTTCACATGAACCTTTCAAACTACAGAGTTTGGTGTCATGAATGCCACAGTGAAATTAACTTCCAGAAGGATTCCAGTGACAAAGAAAACACAACCAAAGGTACTTAAATTTATTATTTTAGTTAAGAATATATATATTTTTTAAAACTGTCTTGAAATTTTAAAAGTAATTATTTTTTTAAGCGCATGTTAAAGGATTAAAAGTCCTTAACATCCTCAGAATTAAATTATTACCTTGAATATTTTTTGAAATCATAGGTTATAAATAGTCAGGACGCAGTCATTGTTAAGGTTTTTATTAGTGCAGACGTTTCAACCCAAACATGTTGCTCATTATCAGGGCCTGTTTCAAGTACTGAAGGTATTAAAGTACTGAAACTTCGGATGGAATGGAAATGTCGGCACTAATAAAAACCTTTAAAATGACTGCATCCTGACTATTTATCATCTATGATATATATATATACCAGTCGACTAACTTCCTTCAATTTTCTGAAATCAAAGATCAGTTCACTGGAAAATTAGAAAGCTACACAATTAGGTTTGCTAAACGTACTTAACCTACTTAACAAAGTCTTAAGGGTAGTATGCATACACGTTTCTTACACTTTCCTATCCCTTACTGCCTAAGATCAGAATCTATTCCTTCTTCCTCTATTTCTTCAATGTCAGAAGAGTTGGTTTAGATAAGAGTACCTTTCTTATTCCATAAACTCTACTTACACTTACCACAACTGATAGAAAATGTTATTATTATTTTTGTTATTCAACTTCTAAAATATAAAATATAGGGAAATGAAATTTCTTAATTCAAAATTATTTTTCAAATATTTAGGTTTAGATGTAGATAAATTCTTTATTTTATTAACACGATTCATTAAAATAGTGACAGTAGTAGAAGTAGGTAAAGGAGGTTCAGGAACTGTTTCAATTTACTATAACGTTAATGTTTTATAATTATCTCTGGGTGACTTGTTATATATTTAGGGGAGAGGAAATACATTTCCTCACTTCGCAAGTTTTAGAAAGAATGGCAGTGCTGCAAAACAACAAGACATTTGCTGTAATATCCTTATCAACTGTAACAGCGTTCTCACATCCAGGGTATCTTGTAAGTTGAGGGAAATTTTTAAAGGAGTGATAGAAGACCTCAAGAGCTACTAAAAAGTTCTAATAACAGACCAATTTTCAGGAGAATAGTAGAAAATCCAAGTTTTGTGTTTTTTAAAGGAAGAACTGTTTTTTATTGAATAGGAAATGATAACTAAAGAAATATTTAACTAACTAATTAACAATTGCTTCACTGTAAACAATACAAAATTTACTTCAAATGAAGATATAGTTTTTCTTTGTTTAAACCATTTAAAGAGGACTTTTGAGCAGCTAAACTAAACTAAATTCTGTTTTAAAGAAAAATCATAAAATATTTGCGTTTTTTTTATCATCATCCATCTATACTACAGATACCCAATTTTAGAAAAACTTTCTCTTTCAACTAGCTTTATGTTCATGTTAATTAAATGGAGCTTTATTAGGAATAAAATTGAGAATCACCTCATGTTGTTTTAAAAAGTCTTCCAAGTAAGGCCAGTATATCCTCCTCACCATTTTCATTGGTCCCACACTTACCTATATCTCCAGGTCAATAATTTTTCATTTGTGAAGAAAATATTCGAGAGAAATCATACTCGAAAAGTAATCCCAGTAAGGCAAAAGCGGAATTCTTTTTCTTTTATAGTATTGGATAGAATTTGATGAAATTGATTCCTACCTGATCATTTATTTATCAATCCCTAACTTCCTTCCAAATTTGGGTCAAATTGAAGGTACAATTTTTGCGATATAGGCGTATCAAGGAAAATACGTTATTGCATATAAAAGACAAATTAGGAGGTTGAATTTAATACAGCATCAGTATTGTACGAATTCTCACCTTTCTTTCAACTTTAATCCAAAATCAAATGAGCTATTTCTGAAATATTGGCATATCTAAGGCAAAACATTTGCGCATGCGCTACCGGAAGTACAGTACAGAATTTAAAAAAAATAATACAGCATCATTATTTTACTAATTCTCACCTTTCTTGCATAGTTTGTCAGCCAGACACCCCTACCGTACGCACCCCCCTCCCCTCCTCCACATCCCTATAAAGTGCATATCGTTGTGTTCCTTGTAACTATTTATTAAAGAAATGTCAATGTTCCCACAAAAAAAAGTGAAATCACTACCCCAAAATGTCGTCCAAACATGGCGGACTGACAACTTTGACTTAAGTTAGTTTTTTGGTCACTGAGAATCAGCATTTGGCTTATTTTCGTCATAGTCGTTCTTTTATTAAAGTTGGATAGTCAGAGAATAATAAAAAATTAATAAATATTAAAACATAATTGGGTTAGGCAATACAAAAACACCAGTAAAGTAAATATTTTTTCAAACAAAATTTCAAGTTAAAAATCAAGCGTCATTTGTAATAAAACGACAAACAATAACGGAAAATCTGTTGGAATAAAACAAATGGAGAATATATTTCTCTTTCTAAAACACTGATTATCTTTTAAAATATTTGAAGCAGTTCCATAGAAAATGCAATTAAGCGGCAGAAAAGTGGTACTGCCGTAGGTGCCTACGTCCTCTACCACACCATTCAGTACTCATAAAAGGCTTAGTTATAGTGATATAATAACATTTTTAGTACATTATATTTATTGTATTAACGAACATATATTAATGCAATAATTTAACTTCCTTTATTCTATACGGAGGTCGTTTAAGAAGGTCTTTATTGTAAAAATGATATACAATTATTATAATAATAAAATTTAATTGAAAAATACTTTGCTGAATATCTTGAATTTTTTATTTAACGTTTGCAATTTAACACTTTGTCTTGTATATTCACTGATTCTTGACTCACTGAAAATACGAAATTGAACCTAAAAATTGGTAAAATATGTCAAACAAACGAGAAAGGAAGTGTCAAAATCTCTGAAAAGAAAACAAGAATCAGTAGCCATTATATGGCAAAACAAATATATAGTAGACAGATGAACAGAATATTTCAAGATCCTGCTAAAAGATGTCAAATGCTGGAGCATTTTGGATGATATTAAGGGGAGGATGCATGTTTTTATGGTGAAGACCATTTTATCAGCAAGAAAGATTTGTTCGAAGGAATTGGTAAGTCAGCAGGTCTGGACGAAGTAAAAGAAGTTTATTATGGTAAAAACTATTTCATTTTCGATAGCTATCTAAGTTGCACATTGGGACTATTTGAAGCAGGTTATAGAGAGGTCTATCGAGAAAGGGAAATAGCTCTCCGTCTGTTTAGTGCATTTCCAAAGGATTTTTGTAGGAATCTGAAAAGAAAACAACATTTTCTGAAAGATAAGTATCCAAAGTGTGAGGCACTAAGCTGATAGCGTGTTATTTTGGGATGATGGCCAGCAGGTCGTCATCATTAATTCACTATCAGATTTAGACATATTTGCTTGACATTTACACACATGGTTCATTATTTTGTTTTTGATTTTTCATATTTTCAGGTTTATGTTTTTGTTGCTTTTATTTTATTTATTTATCTAAGTAATAATTTTATTTTTTCTTATGAGAACATTGCAGATTTGATCTGCTTAGAAACTTTAATTTATGTAATTTTTCTCCTTTTTACAGTAGGAACATACTTTTCGTTGACTAAATTTTATATTTTCTGTTTTCCCTCATTATTAATATCTGGAAAATTTTTTAAATTTATTGTTCTTCTCAATAGAGATATTGTCATTAATTATGGACTCTGGGCTTACATTAGCTCTGGCTATTGTATAAATATTCCTATCCTTGTTCCTCCTGTCCGTTGTCCACCCTTCCTTCATCCATGAGTAATATCCTTTTAACCTGCCATGTCAACGCTCAGTCACTCTTAGCCCATTTTGACGAATTTTATGACTTTTTTCTCCATAACTTCTACCATTTAATTGCCGTATCCGAAACCTGGTTGAAACCCACAATCCTGTCTTCCCAGATCCTTCTACCTAACTATAATCTCGTTCGTCATGACAGAATAGACCGTAAGGGTGGTGGAGTAGGCGTCTTTGTCCATGACAGCCTTAAATCCAAAATCCTTCATTGCTCTTCCTTAACCGATTCACCGCACATTGAATACCTCTTTTCTGTCATATATATCGCCCTCCTAAAATTCCTTTTAATGAATTATTTTTATCTTTTAAATTACTTCTCTGTACAATTTAATCCCTTCCTACTCAAATCTCATCCTTTCCGGAGACTTTAATACCAATTTACTAATGCCATCCTCCGATTATTCCTACTTAACAAGCCTCCTCCATTCTCTCAGCCTGTACATAGTACCCTACAACTCAACCCACCATACTCAGTTCTCGGAGTCCTGGCTCGATCTATTTATCCTAGATTCCACAGACAAACTCCTTGCCGCATCTCAGCACCCAGTCCCGTATCTATTTTTCCACAACCTTATCCAGATATCTTATAATATCCTTGTTCCATCCTTTTCTCCCCAAACAATATCCTTCCGAAACCTAAATTCCCTCACTCACTAAATACTGTCAAAAGACGATATCCAGTGGGATCCTATTTACTCCTCAAAATCCATTAATACAATGGTAGAAACCCTTACCTCTCATCTCTACTCTATCCTCAACCAACATGCTCCTCTTATCACAAAAACCATCCAACATCCTCCCGCTTCTTGGCTTACTCCTGCTTTAAGAGAGTGTATGAGAGAAAGAGATGCTGCAAGGCGATGGTTTAAACTAACTTGTCTTCATGAAGATTTTCTCCCCTTCACACAGCTTCGAAGCAGCACTCAATCAGCAGTATGCCGTGCTAAATCCCGTTACTGACCCACCCGTTCATAGTACCACAGACAGCCACTGGTCCTCCAGGCTGGGGGAACAGTACACTCACACTCATACAGTACACTGCACTCACCTGTACACACCCTAGGGTCACCTTCCCTTGGTACACCTAATTTTAGGAGGCCAAGACTCAGCGATGAGTTAATAAATAAAGGAATGTGTTTGTATACCATTATTTATTCTATTTCATTGACACTGGGACATACCCAGCCTCTACAAAGTGGGTAGTACCCTTATTTAAAATAATTAATTAAGGTGGAAAACCTGGCAGTTGAGCGTGATCTTGGCCTGATCCCTGCACAACCGTTGGCCTTGAAACAGTACTTGCTCTAAATAGTACTAAACCCAAGACCCTTCATGGGTTAAAGTGGTACAGATATTTTTTTAATATTTTTATTTTCTGGTGTAAAATTCCAATAATATAACTATTGGGTTGTCTGGAAAATAATGCAGGATTTTGGTTTAAAAAGGAAAGATTTACAACTATTTTATTAATTCAAAATAGTCTACCAAATAAATACTACCAATACATTTTTACCAACATTTTGGCAACTTTTTCATTCCCTCGGAATATAATTTTTAATAATAGTAATAATGCTTTATTTATTCTGGGACAAGTCCCCTTAGAATAATACAGAAAGACAAAAATGTAGGCTAAGGAGCCTCAGAGATGCATAAACAAAAATATAGAGTAAGTAAATAGTCAAAATAAAAAAATAATAAAAGAAATTATAAGTTACTTTCTATTTTAAATCAGTTAATAATAAAAAATTGAAAATAAACATGAAGTAAAAATAATGAAGAACAATTTAATAATTGATATACATATTTACAGTAGTAACTATTGCAATTTTATGGGAACTGGATGGATAAGAAATGATTGAACAGACGGGTTTTAAAGGTAGGAAGGGTTTTGAACTGACGGAAGTCGGGAGGGATGGAGTTCCATAGGGATGAGGGTCGGATAATGAATAATCTTTCAAAAACAGCGGTTCGGTGGGCCCTTATGTATAAATCAGAAGACCAGGAACGAATATTGCGGGAACGAACAGAGGATTTGAATTGAAGGAGCTCAGGGATGTATGAAGGATGGTGGGATTAGATGACTTGAAAGAGGAAGGGTGTGAGGAAATACTTACGATGGTAGGAAGGATAAAGCCACTTTAACTCTGCATAAAAATGGGAAACAGAGTACTTTGGGATCCCAAAGATGAGTCGTACAGAGCAATTTATAAAGCGTTTTAATTCCCCAGAATTTTAGATCCCCAGAGACGCCCCCATATACTGTACAGCAATAGTCAAAGTGGTTAAAAATTAAGGAAGTTACTAGGAGCCTACGAGTTTCAAGCGGAAATAGGTGACGGGAGTAATTTAGACGTTTTAAGGTGGAAATGGTACGGCGGGAGATGTTGGATATATGATTTTTCCAGGAAGGCGTTTGATCAAAGATCATTCCAAGGTTTTTGATGGAAGAATAGAATTTGATGGAATTACCATGTAGAAACAGAGTTGGAATATTAGGAACAGTTTTAAGGAGGTGATTCGAGCCTATTAAGGTTGCCTTTGTCTTTTCTGCATTCAAATTCAACTTGTTAGCTCTCGTCCAGTCACAAATCCTATCCAAGTCTTCTTGAAGTTTTTCTGTGGCTGATAATAGGTCGGTGGACGGGAAGGACAGATATATTTGGAAATCATCTGCATCGATATGGTATTGGGAGTGATGCATCAGGAGGGGAAGGTCATTAATATAAATAGCAAACAGAGTAGGAGATAGGGAGAAACCTTAAGGGACACCACAGGAGAGGGGGAGGGTTTTAGATGGAGGTGACCTGCGACAACTACATACTGGGACCTATTGAAAGGAAGGATTTGAACCAACACAGGGTTCTGTTGGATAGAGGAAGATTGTGTAATGTAATGTAATTCCCCATCTTTAGAATTTATAAACTCCAAAAATGCATTTCCTAATTTTCTTTGTCCATTAAATTTTTTGTCACATAAGTAGTGGTCCAGGTGTATAAAAAAATGATAATCCATAGGCAAGAGATTTGAAGACTAGAGCAGATGTGACAGAGTTTTATATCCAAGGTCCAACAGTTTTTGTGACGTCACACGTGTGACATGTGACCGGGCGTTGTCATGCAACAAAATGGGCCCCTTTGGATTGACCAAACATGGCTTCATTGTTGCCTATTTCTGATGCATTGCATTAATGTGATTGCAATATCATTCCGCATTGATTGTTTCTTCAGGATTTAAGAAGCTGTAGTATATCAAACCAAATGAAGCCTACCAAACAGTAACCATCACCTTTTTTGGTTCTTTGGGGGCTTTGGAAAATGTTCTGCTGCTTCTCCTTTGTCGAGCCCCTGTCCAGAACAGAACGTGTACTGTTATTGTAAAGTATCCACTTTTCATTGTAAGCAACAATTCTGGACAGAAAAGGGTCGTTTTTGTTTCGGCAAAAAAGTGTATCACAAACTTCATTACGCTGATGTTTTTTTACCAGTCATTTAATGTATGTGGAACCCAACTTTCTAGCCTTTTCAATCGCTTTGAGGTGGTCATCTACGGTCGATTTGCTAAGGTTAAGTTTCCCTGCAAATTCTCGAACAGTTGTTCTGGAGTTTTCTTCCACCAAAGCCCGCAGAACATCATCAAGAGAGGAAGTCCTTTTGCGACCTTTTTTGAACCACTGTTGAACATTACACTCATTAATGCTGCTCTTGCCCTATACATGATTGATGTTTCTGGCTATCTGGACCCCATTCTGGCCGAGTTTAAACTTGTAAAACAAAATTATACGAAAATCACTTGTTGACAATTTAGTAAAGACTGAATTATTTCTAAGCAGCGAAATGCTACAGAGGTAAACAAACATATAGTTTGGAAGAGATTAATTAGTGTTGACATTCATACAAATGAATATTCCAGTATATTTAAGCAGTTTGTTTTATAGAGGGATATTTTAAACAGAACCCAAAATCCTGCATTATTTTCTGGACAACCCAATAATATAATATTTTTTTACTCTAAAATAATATTTTTATTATTCTATTTTTACCATTGCAGGATTAGTGGGCCTGCAAAATCTTGGAAATACTTGTTACATGAATGCAGCTCTTCAGTCCCTTGTCAATACTCCTCCTCTTGTTGATTATTTCCTCAACTGTTCCTTAATAAGTGGACCTAAGCCTCAAGTAACGAGGGCATTTCACCGACTTGTAGTGGACATTTGGAGCAGAGGAGATGGTTACCTTGCTCCTCAGGGTCTCTTATATGCCATCCGTCATGTAAGTTTTTTAGATATACTGATTTACTATTTTAAAACAATTATTGTAATTTTTTTTTTTTAAACAGTTTATTATTTATAGTGAATATAGTTTACATATTATTATACTTCTGACTATACTATCTATTCTAACATTTTGTCAAATAAGAATGTCCCTTCGGGGCATATAGTCCAAATGGATAACGAAGCTGGTTCTTGTTCTTCAAAAAGAAGACGAGATGAGTCAATAACATATAATATACCAACTCAAAATAGTTTCACCATTTTTTCTGATGAAGAGACCGATGCTCGAACTGTTATTAACCCCGAAGTACTTAAATTTCCTCCAATAGTTTTAAACTTCACTTTTTCGAGTCATAAGGAGATCATAACTAAACACAAATATTCAATTGATGAAGTTAACATAAAATATGCGGGTACAAAACTATTTTTTGTGCCTATAACGATGAATATTTTATAAATTTAAAAAACAAGCTAAAATTATTAAATTACAATTTCCACGCGTACACGCCAAAACATGCAAGTCCAAGGTTGTACTTTAAGGCATACTCCCAGACTACTCCATAGAAGATATACTATCCGACCTAAATCACCTAGGGTTGGACATTTATAAAATATTTCCCATGGTGAAAAAATCTATCGGGAGAGAAACTAGATAACAATAGTAATTTTTAATAATAAAGAACAACTGGCTAAATTAAATCATATAAAATACTGTAATAATGTGGTAATAACATGGGAAAAATATAATAGTAAAAAGTTTTAACCCAACGTTATTTATGTCAAAAATTTAACCATGTTGCTCGAAACTGCTTAAAAAAAAAACAGGTGTTTGAAATACTCTGAGGAACACTTATCAAAAGACTGTCCAAATATCATATGTGAAGATTTTGTCCCGAAGTGCAGCAACTGCAATGAAAACCACTTTTCTAATTACAAAAAATGCTCACACTACATTAGAAATCAACAAATGAAGCTTATTAAACACTGACCTATAATCAACCCTTCACAATAGAAAATTTTCAATCCGAAAAAAAAAAAACTATTTCTCTTCATTGCCAAAAACCGACTCAAAATGGTTCCAAAAAACATTCTTTGAAAACTATAAGGAAAAAACCTCATTGAATAATAATGAACCTTCAATCACAGAATGCTTTTTTTTTTTTTTTTTTTTAATTTCTTTATTGAGTATTATAGCAATCTGTCTGTTGGACATTGGTTATAGTGAGGTAGGATGACATTCACACTATATGTACAAAAAAAATAAAATAAATAGGACAAAATAATAATCAAAAGTATATACAATAGACAATAAAATAAAATAACCTAAAAAATAAGAAAATTAAAACTAAGAAAAAAAAAAACATGCATACCTATATACAATCAAGCGAGGGAACTCCAGGAGAACCCTGCGCTACTCTCCCAACCGCGTCACTGGTACTAAAGCCAGCGGAGATTGGTCGAGAGCACTTTAGCCACACACACTTATGTCTTGAGTGAAGAATCTGGCCATTGCCAGAACTCCAATTTATACAATCTACAAAAGGTCGCGAGGCCACTGCCGTTTCAACCTTCTTGGAGGATTATAGGGATGGGAGGTGCTTGATAGGGATTGTGCAAGAGGATTTGGGTGTTAAGTAAGGTTCTGGTGAAATTTGGAGAATTTTTCTGGGATAAGGTCTAGGACAAATGGGATGTTGAGGTCATGATGTAGGGTTTTGTTGGTTACATAGAAAGGAGCATCGACTATTGTTCGAAGGACTTTAGACTGGAAGGATTGGATGCGCTTGATGTTAGAAAATTTTGCTGATCCTCACAGTTCTAGTCCGTAAGTCCAAATAGGTTTCAGTATTGTCTTGTAGATCAGTAGCTTGTTTTCAATAGAAAGTTTAGATTTTCTGCTTAGTAGTCGGTATAGTTGGCCGTATCGTCGTTTGAGTTCTTGTCTTTTGAGTCTAGTATGCGGGTTCCAAGTTAGTCTTCGGTCTAAATGAAAGCCAAGATACCGGACTGTGTCTGAGTAAGGAAGCTGGATGGAATTAAAGAGTACTGGTGGACAGGAATTGCGTCGTAGTGTAAAGGTAATATGTTGGCATTTAGATTCATTAACTTTAATGCGCCAGTTATTACACCAGTGCTCAATCAAGGTGAGGTGGCTTTGGAGATTTAAGGATGCTATTTCGGGATCAGAGTTGGATGATAAGATTGCAGTGTCGTCAGCGAATGTTGCAAGAAAAGAAAAGTATCGGATGAACAGGGATGTCAGCAGTAAAGAGGATGTAAAGCACGGGACCCAAGACGCTGCCTTGGGGAACACCGGCTTTAACGGAGTAGATATTGGAAAATTCTGTTCCACTGCGAACTCGAAAGGAGCGGTCAGAGAGGTAGGATCGGAGGACTAGGTACAAGGACTGAGGTAAATGGATTTTAAGCTTGGAGAGCAGTCCGGAGTGCCATACCCGGTCAAATGCCTGTGCAATGTCCAGAAAGGCACCCGAACAGTATTCCTTGTTTTCTAGGGCTGAGGAAATATGATCAACAACTCGGAGTCCTTGTTGAACAGTAGAATGTTGAGAGCGAAACCAAACTGATGGGAAGGGATATTTTGGGATTCTATAATGGGTAGGATTCGTTTCAAAAGGATCTTTTCAAAAATTTTTGAAAGGATTGGGAGTAGGCTGATTGGTCTATAGGATGTTGAGCTATTAGGAGGTTTGCCTGGTTTTGGGAAAAGGATAATAGTGGAGTGTTTCCATAACAGAGGGAAGTGGGTGGTGCATAGGATACAATTGTAGATATATGTAAGGAATATGACTGCTTTGGATGGAAGTTGTCGAAGGATTTGAGGTGTAAGGAGATCATGTCCAGGAGCTTTACGGGGGATTAGTTTTTTTAATTGAAATTTTACTTCGGAAGGATGAATAGCTTTTGGGAGCAAGGAAAGTGGGATTGGTGATGTAAGGAGTTCTTCTACTGTTACGGTGTGGGCAGAATGGGATTCCGGATGTGAAATAAATGTATTGGATAGGTGAATGGCGAACTCCTCAGCTTTATCTTCGTCAGATGCTGCCCAGGAGCCATCACCTCGTCGGAGGGGATGGGAAATGCGGTGAGGATTTAGGATTTTTGTTGTGGTTTTCCAAAGGGAATTGTCGCGAGAAGAGAGGGAGGATAGGTAGGAGTTGAAGGATTGTGATCTGAAGGTGGCTAATTCTAGTTTTAATTGTTTGCAGTAGTAATTATAGGAGCAGCGGTCGGTAGGATGTCGGGTACGTTGCCATAATAATCTGGCACGGCGTTTGGTGTGGATTAGGTTAAGGAGGTGTTGGGGTAGAATGGTCTTTATAGGAATTCTGGAGGAGTCTTTTGGGAAGGAGGCAGTCCAGGCGGCTTGTTGGATTTTGGTAGTAAAGGAATTTACAGCACTATCAAGGTCATCGGGAGTTTTGAGGGATATGTTGAGATCAATATTATCGGAGATTATTTGTTGGAAAAGGTCCCAGTTTACTGGGCCCCTAATGAATGACGGTGGAGAAGGTTTGGGAACGGGTTCAAGTGAAAAATTAAGGATTAGAGGACTATGGTCAGAGGAAAGTTCATTTAGACGTGTAATGGAACAATTGAGGGGACTCAAGCCGCTGTGGATAAAGAAATCAAGAAGATCAGGATTACGGTTGGGATCTGTGGGCCAGTAGGTAGGAGAGTTGGGGGAAAGGAGGTGAAAATGTTGGGAATTGAGTGCAGGCAGCAGGGTTCGGCCACGAGAATTCGTGGTTCTGGAACCCCATTGTTGGTGCTTGGCATTTAGGTCTGCACCCAAGATGAAGTGATGTCCTAAGGAGTGGAGGAGAGAACTGAATTGGGCATTGGATATGGATCGGTTAGGAGGGCAATACGCTGATGCAAGAGTAACCGGAAAGGAGAAAGTTTTTATCACGATAGCGGTGGACTGTAGGAAATCATGTGTAGGTAATGGGAGTACGTGATGGGAGAGGGATTGGTGTACAATTACAGCAGTACCGGCATGTGCTTTTCCGTCAGGGTGGTCAGTACGATATGCCAGGTATTGTGGTATATTGAAGTGCTGTTTAGTGGTTAGTCGAGTTTCAGTAATTAGTGCCACATCAATGTTTTTGTCAAGTAGTAAAGTAGATAGTTCGTCTGTATGATTTCTAACACCATTCGCATTCCAAAGGAGAATGGATATGGGTTTAGGGATGTGAGTCATTTAAGGATTTTTTAAAGGAGGGATGAGGTGAGATACGAGATTCGTGAGGAGTGATATGAGTGGAGTAACAAGGGATTTGAAATCGGTGAGGAAAGATGCTAACAAACTTGTGATATCTGTTGCATTTGAAGGAGGAGGAATATGAGGAATTTGTTGTTGATGGTTAGGTATATTAGGATGAAGAGGATTTTGAGGTTGGGGTTGAGGTTGTTGTTGTGGCAGGGCTTGATATTTATCGGTTGAAGTCTTACCTCTAAGTAGTTAGGAGAATGATACATCATTGTTTACAATTCTGGACGGCTCTCTCTCTCTCTTCTTGTTCTTAGTGTTTCATCTTGAATCCGGTTTTTCTGGTGTCTGGTTTTGGGATTCTTGTAAATTTGGCAGCCTTTGTAGTTGGCCGGGTGTCCCTCCAAGCATAGGGCACATACTGCTGGATCTTGTATAGGTTTGGTGCACTCTACAGATTTGTGCTGTTCACCCCACTTCACGCAACGCGGCAAATGGTGGCAATATGTCTTCGTGTGGCCATAGGTCTGACAATTATGGCACTGCACGATGTCTCTCTTGGGGTATGGCTTCTCAACTTTCACCATTGTGTAGTATATTCTTGTGATATCATATAAGAATGCTTTAAAGAATTTTTTTTTAAATGTAAACTCTTTAATATAAATAAATTAATATATAAATAATAAAATATTATGTCAGAAGTTAAATCAGCTGAGGATAGTATGTCGAAAATCTTTAATGTGATAGAAGGTTTATTGTTTATA